ATGAAGTGGCCTGAGAGCTATTAATTGTTCTGTCATGCTATATAATTCCAAAGGTAACCACAGTTTTCAATCATATTCCCAGCTCGGCTTTATTGTTATTTGAGCGTGCAACCTTTGTTTCCCAAAGAACGGCCAATAACACACAGTTTGATTATAGCGTTACTGCTTAGCTGGCAAAGGGAAACATTTAGGTGTTTGGGACAGAATTACTGGGTTTCAATCCAATTGTTTTTATTCTTACTGTCCATTAGAACCACTGTGGTTCTAGCCATATGTTCAGCTCTATTTAAATGTCAGCATGCTCATTGGCATATCCTGATGTATATGACTACTGGACACCAGCCTGGAGTATTTAAATATCTAACAAATACACTATTCACTCATTTCATTTCCTAAGCAGCTGTTATAACATTGACACAAGGAGCAATTAAGTGATTGTGACACCAGGAGTATTGAAATGATTCATAATAGCTTTTACTTGCAAATAGTGAAGCTTTAGATATGCAAAACATTCAATGACAGCTTGAGTGGTTCCCAGCAAATGATATGACTGATTAATATGAAAGACAGGAGCTGTTAGCAGCATCAAAAGCACATAATGTACTACGAATGTCAAACAACATAATGGTATGTTAGGATCTGAGATGGGGGATGTCTCTCAGGAAATCCATACAGCGGGACCAGGAAGCAATTTTATATCAAAATGCATCTACGACGACAAAGATACATCTGACAGCATGGGCCAGGTTTAATTGAATAATGATGCATTTTCCAGAGCAAGTGAGTTGATTTACTTTGCAGATTGTAAGGAGTGAAACCCGTTCTCTGGATTGAGTCGGCCCTCCTGTTAATACTATACCAAGCACTGGGAAATGGCATAGAAGTGTGAAGGTCAGTAGCTTATGAAGCCCATGCAAGCTTTAATATGCACAGTCAATGAGAGAGAGAGAGAAAGAGAGAGAGAGACGGAGGGTGTGCGCCTTGTGACCCTGTCAACCTTAAAGGAATAGTGAGTGCATACAGCAGAGCAATGAAGCTTTTCAGACTGAGTCTTTCATCATTGATTGTAATCCTGTGCCTACAGCAGTGTCATATGCGCACACATATGAGACAAGGAGGATAAGAGCATAAAGCTGATTCTGTCTCTGATAAGGGGAGATGTGGGAGTTTGATAAATTTGTACAGCAAATTTTCTATGACAAGTTAAGAATGGACAATTACTGATGTAACAAACTTAAAAATTGCATTTGTCAAAGCTTTAGTTGATGTGTAAAGATCTTGCTTGACTTTGCTTTGGTATTTTTTTTTTTTTTTTTGTATTTTTAGTCAAAATTAAACATTTTACCTGCACTTCTGGCTTTTAACCATTGACTGTCAATACAAGATGGACAAACCCACTGTGACATCAACCACTTTCATTACAGCTTAGGCTTAGACTTATAAACAATAATACAGCTACATCTTTAGTTCTTACCCTGGATCTCTCCTCCAGTTTGGTCATCATGACAATAATGGCACTCCTCTGCTCCCAAATCATCCTCCAGAAGTCACCAAATGTTTCTGGCAGAGATCCTTGGGTGGCAATGTAGGCGTTCTGCTTCCTGTAGCCATCTATATAGTTGGCGTTGATATAGTCACTTCCAGGGATACCTGGGGGGAAAAAAACATCATGAAGTGAGTTGTCAGGCTGAGTTTGCAGGTAAAACGGTTGCTTTATAGTAAGATTGTATTATCTTTAAGAGGAATGGGATATTTAGATGCTGAGTTGCACACAGAGAGTGATATAGCATCAGATTCTTTCCCACATAAGATTCAAATGACACTGTTTGGTGCTTTCTGATGTGTTTCCTAAAATTCAGTAAGTATTAAATTGAAAACTAGCATCAGACTGTGACATTTGGAGTCAGAGTTACAGTCCATACAGATTTATATTTGCTATCAACAGCATATTTAAATCCACAGCTTTTTTTTGGTCCTTCTTCCATATCTGCAACCGACTTACAGATGAAACTTAGTTTGTAAAAGTCTATCAGCTCACATGGAGAAAAACAAACCAACAAAAAGCTAGCAAAACAATTTTCCCCTCTCCTCCCCATCCCTCTCTTCCTTTGCTTATAGTAAATGAAAGGCACAGCAGCCTTTTTGAATCCAGGGGAAAACGACAGAGCTGACAGCTAGTCAGTGCTTTAGGACTGGCAGTTCAGGGGCTCCGTGCACACATGGTGGACCAAGATAAGTCTCATCTGCATGGATGCCACGTCTCAGAGAATCCCCTCACTCCAACTGCTTCCTCTCCCCCACACTCCCTTTTATTCCCAGGTAAGTTATTTAACCAAAAAAAAGCAATATGAAAATATTCAGAAGCCCCCCCACATATCCCCCCCCCCCCTTTTTTTAGCTGCACATTAC